TGAAGATTGCGACCGCTCAAAAAGCGTTCAAAATAGACAGAAAATGTTGATTATTTGGGAACTGAAAAGGCCGCGATGTCTTTTAATTAGCTCGTTGCATTCCTTGTCGCTTTCCGATGAAAATGATCAAGAATTCGAGGTATTTTGATAAACTTAATTTTTTTTCAAAAATCAATCTCTTGGTCCCCTTCTGAAATTTTCGAACAAAAATCTAAATTTCAGAACCGTGTTTTTTGCCCTTATTGGATTTTTTCCGACCTAAGAAGCGGCCCGATAACGAATATGAAGTTTGTGGGTCCACAATAAGTAATATATCGTCCGTTGAATATTGCGACCGCTCAAAAAGCGTTCAAAATAGACAGAAAATGTTGATTATTTGGGAACTGAAAAGGCCGCGATGTCTTTTAATTAGCTCCTTGCATTCCTTGTCTCTTTCCAATAAAAACGATCAAGAATTCGAGGTATTTTGATAAACTGAATTTTCTTTCAAAAATCAATCTCTTGGTCCCCCCTTATGAAATTTTCGTCCAAAAATCAAAATTTCGCAACCGTGTTTTTTGCCATTATTGGATTGTTTCCGACCTAAGAAGCGGCCCGATAACGATATGAAGTTTGTGGGTCCACAATAAGTAAAATATCGTCCGTTGAATATTGCGACCGCTCAAAAAGCGTTCAAAATAGACAGAAAATGTTGATTATTTGGGAACTGGAAAGGCCGCGGTATCTTTTAATTAGCTCGTGCATTCCCTGTCTCTTTCCGATGAAAATGATGTAGAATTCGAGGTATTTTGAGAAACTTGATTTTTCTTCAAAAATCGATCTCTTCTGAAATTTTCGACCAAAAATCAAAATTTCGCAACCGTGTTTTTGTCCTTATTGGATTGTTTCCGACCTAAGAAGCGGCCTAATAACTTCAGACACTGAACCAGTTTATTTTATTTTGGCCAACAAGAAGCAAAAAGGAACAGCCATATTTTTCACCGTTAGAAAGCTGAATGCTTACTTATAAATATTGATGTGGATCAAAAACCCTTAAATACCAAATTTCAACAATCCATTGGTATTATTAAGAAAATTATAAGGAAAAAACTGAAATTTTAACACCTTATATCTTAGAAACTGTGCACTTTCGGACTTATAATTATGGGAACTTTTTCTCATAAAATGACCTATGAAATCACGCCCTTAAATATTGCCGCATCTTTTTTTAAACATCCCGATGTACAGTTGACGAATTGCAGCTTTACAGTGTCAACAATTGAGCATTTTTTTTCTATTTTGATCAAAAAGGAGCAAAAACTATCAACTTAGCTGAATTCAGGAAAGTAGCGGGGCCCAGTTTGCATGTAAAAAGGACAAAGTATGGACCCGAAATGATCAATTTGCACATGCAAAAGCAGAATTTATTTAAGATTAAGTCGTATCTTTGTCGTAAATGACAGCCAAATAATCCAGATAAGCAAATGTTTGACAACGCAGAGTATACTTACATATTTTTAGAAACCAGCGCATACTTTTTTGATTTTCAGATTGTTTGATTCTTTGATTTTCGATCAGCTTTATATTGTTCATACCCAGTAAGCTCAAAGTTCTTCTGCACGGAATTAACGTGATTTTGAAATACTTTATTTATAAATTTGCAGAATTATAAAATGTTGTTAAGCTATTCTTAAAGTGAATTCAGATTTTTAGAAAGTATTGTACTGGATTCGCCACTGAACTAAAACTATTGTCTCATTGTCTCTAATGGTTTTCAAATCTAAAATTGATGAATTTGCTTGCCAGCAAAGCTCACTCCTCAATGACTTACAAATATTTTTTCTATTTGGATTACTTAATTCTATGTGCCATTCATCATTAGCCTATTAATTATACGTGGAAAAAGTCAACACGGAAACTATAGTGTACAAGATTATCCGTGCAAGTTTACTAAATTTAAAAACTTATCTTTCATTCCGATCTTGAGGTTTTCACTTTTGCTACTTTTAGTTTCTGCTAAGATAATTTTTTTT